AACCCCTGCTATGTGCCAAGAAATTTGCATGCTCATTTATTCAACTAAACTTTTGTTGAGTATTTACTGCACCCTAGGCCCTGAGGCAGGCCAAGGACCTGTAGAGGATAAAGAGAGAAGAGATACATGTGCAACAGAAAAATAAAGTGAAATGTGATCAGCACAAAGTGAGAGATCTTCCCAGTGGTAAAGGTAGGGCACCTAACCCAGCTGCAAGGACATAGTGACTGGGCCAAGCTGTGAAAAGAAGCAGGAAGGATCAAGGAGGAAAAACACCTTGGACTGATTGACCACTGTGCTCACCTGAGAGACAGGAGAGACCAGATTCTGGGTCATGCTGGCAGCTGTCAGGGACTGCCTTGCTGACTGCTTGTGGGCTGTAAGATTTATCTACCCAACGAACTTCAGTCTGTCGGAGGTAAAGAGTGTTTCTGAAGATGACACCATGCCCTCCTATGGTTCTAATTCCTCCTGCTCTGCACTCTAATTCCTTCCCATACACTAGAGCATGGGACAGAAAACTATAACCCAGGTGCCAAATCCAGCCCACCTCCTATTTTTGTAAATTAAGTTTTATTGGCATACAGTCATGCCCAATAGTTTCCTTACTGTCTAGGGCTGTTTTCATACTATGAAGGCAGGGTTGGGTAGTCACAACAGAAACTATGGGGGCCACAAAGCTTACAATACTTAAAATCTGGTTTTTACAGAAAAGGTTTGCCAACCCTCAAACTAGACATTAGCAGCCACCTTCTCAGCTGACACCGCCCCTGGTGGTTTGAACTCAGGAAGATGTGGTTCTTTAAAGGAAACTGGTAACATCCCAGGAGGGAGTAGGGATAAGGGAAGGCAGGGACTGGAATTGGAGGGGAAAGGCTGTGGAAGGGCCTGATAGGCCACATCTCCTGGGGGAGGAAAGTCATTCCCTCCGTCCAGTGATTCTGGGATGGTATAAGAGGAAGTTATGAAGATACTGCTGCTAGTCGGGAGATGAGAATTCTTTTGCACAATAAGATGCTTTTACTCTACCTAAAAAAGAATATGCAGCAGAGAGTTCTTTCTATAAAGCATAATCATGCAAGAGGAAGACTATAGCTCAGGTTTTGCAGCTGGGAGGGCACATACAATTCAAATCAGAGCCGATGGCCCTGTGTGGGGCGGGAACACCCTGAAGTGGAGAACATAATCCACATCCCACACAGCCCCCGGAGCCCCGTCCCTGGCAGCCTGATGATTAATGCATAAACCGGAAAGACGTTTGTTTCATTGACTGCCTTGGAGTCCTGTGAGCACAGAGCAGTCAATAAATATTTATTGAATGTATTTTCCTAGGGCTTGCAGCATTTGCTCAGTGACATCTTATAACTAAATAAGCAGGAATTGTTCGGGGTGCTTCCAAATAAATATATAAAGGTATGCTAATGGGATCCAAGCTAGGAATTGGGAGCAGGAAAGAAAATATTCATCCTTCTGTACGAGTTATCTGAATGGTACTAGCTTTTGGGTAAATAAGAAAGAAGCGTGTTAAACAAGCCCCAGAAGTAAGGATTGCAAGAAAGAAGAAAGGGAGGGAGGGAGGAAAGAAAGAAGGGAAGGAAATGGGGCAGGCAGGGAAGGAGAGAGCAAAGAAGATAAATACCTTTGTTTTGAACAAATGAAAATATATACATTTTTTAAAGCCAGTCTTTTTTATTCTCTTTGGTTGTAGGTAGGTAATACTTTCATCTGTCACTAAAATGGCTCCTACACTCAAGGAACAGCAGAGAGTTAACTGAAAACAGATTCCCAAATTGCAATTTTTGCAATAAAGATAAAATAGGGCTTTCTGGCACCCATTTGCAGCTACAGTGCCAATATGCTGGTGCAATGCCCTATAAACCCAGTCACACTAGATTCTGAATGGTGTATCACCAATTTGGGTGTGGGGATTGGTGTTAGAGTCCATTTATTTAAGATTGGGTATTTATCCTGAGTTTGAAACAAATTAAAATCTTGCATTTGAGATAATACTAAAAGAAGGCAATGCAATTACCACATTCTCCCCTGTGCATTGTCCTCAGGCTTCGCAGGCTCCCGCGAAGCCTGAGGACGCACGGCCGCCTGTGAGGTTGGCGCCTGTGCAGTGCTGGAGGTTGCTGGAGGTGAGATAAGGCATCTTCATGGCTGCATGTCCAGCTTTGTCGGGAAAAAAACAATTTTGCCTTTGGGAAATAATCCAATAAGCCATCCTACAATTTTAATGCAAACACTCAAAGAGATTCCGGCCATGACTATTCAGGCCCAGCCCTCCACCGAGTTGGAAAGAAGGTAAAGATAATGGTTGCACAGGCCCTGCTCCAGCCACTCTGACTCTGGATTTCCCTCCACCCACCCCCACCCCACGACTGGAGAGGAAACTAAGTCTCTATCACTGTCGGGCAGCAAAAAAGACACAGGTCCGGGAGGGACATCAAGACTTCTCAGGTTCTTTGCAGGAGACAGCTCCAGAGAGGTAAGGTCATCTGGCCTATGGTGTCCTGGGCCTCCCTTGGCTGTAGATGTGGCCCTTTGGGTAAATCTAATGAGGACAGACAAGACTTAATTTGCAACATTTTGGTGTTTTGGGGTTTTTTTTTGTTTTTGTGGGGTTTTTGCTCAATTTCCTAAGGATGGACGATTTGCCACATTTGAAAGTTGGTTTTGCCCTTTTGACACAGCATTTGTGTGATGGGCTTTATAGCCACCAACTCAACCAGGGAATCTTGCCCAAAGATTTATACTACTCACCCCCACTATAATATATTTTCTAAGCTTCTTCCTAATTCCACTCTCTCCTGACTTTACGACCACCTAGCCACTTAACAAAGGAGGCAGAAGGAAAAGTTTCTGAGGGTTTTCTTACTGGGAGCCACTATGACTAAAGGCTGACATGAAGCATCCTTGTAACAGCCAGACTCTGTACACTGAACACTTACAGCGGCCTTGCTCTTACAGACCAGAGGAGCAAAGTCCAGGGACCCAGCATAAAAATGCAGAGAAAGAGATTCTAAAGTGCAGGATGATAAAGGGACAACCAGGGAGGCCTTTGTGAAAACAGAGCCTAATCCTAACACAGGTAAGGGAGAAGACTCCGAATGCTTCCTGCCCTTGGAGCAAGATGCTCAGCAGGCTCTCCCCACATCCAGCCCAATACACCCTCTTTAAGCCCCTCCAATAGACTGTCTGCCATCCCAAGACTTAGTTACCTCTGCAGCTTCCCTGAGGCTCTAAGGCGTTGATCAGATTACTGCGTGAGGTCACTTACCCTACTGTCGTGTTTTGTGGCTGCTTACTGATGCACCTCTTCTCCCGGGAGAAATCAGAAGCTCATAGCACAGAAGGAAATGCTGTGCCGAGTGGGAATTTGCTGAGTGTGTACTGAATAAAATTGCTTTACTTGTGACCCTGGCCCCAGTTCTGGCCCAGACATCCTGGGAGTCCAAAGAATACAGTACATGAATGATGTGGAATTACGTAGAGACAGCTGACAGCTGTGCTGCATTCGTCTGCACGTTTCTGAAGTCTCCATTGACCATTCTGTGCCACAGAAGCCAGAAATATTTTCATGTCAGAGAATCGAATGCGTGGTTCTGTGGTTTTGTTAGATAATATTTAAACCCCAAAAGCTGTATAAGACATCACTCCTACTCTGGAAAAGATGCATATTTTAAGGGATAGATCTATCAATTCTGCAAGAAAATATCCATAGGGAAATGCCTTTTAAAATGAAAGAGGCAGAATTGATGTGCTTATAACAGATATGAAATGCTGATTGGAATATTTATTATCCTTTAGATCACTGTGACATCTCAGAGGCAGTGCACAAATTCAAACATGTGGACACACTCATTCAGATGACACCATTTAGTGCCAGATCCCAGGTGGGAGTGGAGGAGGAATGGCTCCAGGCTCGAAGTTGTCATTCTCTGTGCTTTTGCCTTCCTGCAATGAGCTGTCATCTACCCTGGCCTTTTATGTGTTCTAATGTGTCTGTCTAAGCAGCTGGAGACTGTCTTTCTCCTCATGAAGCATGTGTAGTTAGCCACACACTGACTCCTAGATGCTCAAAGACTTGATAAAGATTTCTCCAGGACAACCGGGCGAGGTGGTTCACACCTGTAATCCTAGCATTCTGGGAGGTCAAGGCAGAAGGATTGCTAGAGGTCAGGAGTTTGAGACCAGCCTGAGCAAGAACGAGACCTCATCTCTACTAAAAATAGAAAGAAATTAGCTAGACAACTACAAATATATATAGAAAAAATTAGCTGGGCATGGTGGACATGCCTGTAGTCCCAGATACTTGGGAGGCTAAGGCAGGAGGATTGCTTGACCTCAGGAGTTTGAGGTTGCTGTGAGCTAGGCTAACACCACAGCACTCTAGCCAGGGCAATGGAGTGAGACTCTGTCTCAAAAAAAAACAAAAAAACAAAGATTTCTCCAGGAGCTGGCTTCAGGCCACTGCTTTCTCACACACACACACACACATTCACTTCCTCTCAAATTGTATGGACGGATGTAGAATTGCTAACATTTTATTGCCACATAAGGACTTGAAAAACTACTGTTTCTATTCCCCTTATTCCTCAATCCCAAAAGGATAAAAGGTAATCTTTATATTGAATAAATTTACAACATCATCCTTATTTTTCTAATTTGGCCATGTGCTCCTGACCTGTGTTTGGCCATCATGTCCCCAGCGTGTGCATTTCAGTGATGAAAATGTCTCTCCTTGAATGTTGCTCTATGGGTTCTGAAATTGCAAAAAATCTAGCTAACTTTTCCTATGAATTTTAGAATTGTACATCATAAGCCATAAAGCTTAAGGTTAGAATATAGAAAAATAATTGGAAAATAGTTGTCATCAAGGATTTCCAGGAATCAAAGGATTTCCAAAAATTTTTTCACTGATAGGAAAAACACATAATCACTGATGTAGATTTTAGTGACCAAAGGAGAATTTTGTCCTTTCATCTCTGTTCCAGGTACATGGCCATCATCCATCCCCTCCAGCCCCGGCTGTCAGCCACAGCCACAAAAGTGGTCATCTGTGTCATCTGGGTCCTGGCTCTCCTGCTGGCCTTCCCCCAGGGCTACTACTCAACCACAGAGACCATGCCCAGCAGGGTCGTGTGCATGATCGAATGGCCGGAGCATCCCAACAAGATTTACGAGAAAGTGTGAGTACAGATGACTCCCCACTCTGCTCTGAAGCTACTGTGCTGCAGGGTGCCTTCCCTGCCCCTTCCTGTTCGTTCTTTCTTTCCATATTCTTGTTTTAGCTAGGATTTAATGCATAAGTGTAAGCATTTCTCACATCCACCCTGATATCAGACTGGTAAATCTATAATTATCAGGGGACTATACTATATACTAGAGAATTTTTACTTGTAAAATCGAGATCCTGTTATATAGCAGACCCTTTGAGTGCCTTGCCACATCCCTCGGGCTCTTTACCAGAGACATTCCCCTGCCAGTGTCTGCATTTCTTTGCCTGGGAATTTATTCCTAAGCTACAGAATGCTTCTCTGCCCTCCTGCACAGCAAGCCAGAAGGTGGGGGGATTACCTCCCACCCCCAGCAGCTCTCAGCAATGACTGATGGGAGTTGGCGTACGAACACTCACCCCCTCAACCCTCAGGAGGGATGTCTCTGAGGTTCATGTCGTACACTGCGTCCAAGGTTTTCTCATGGGATTAAGCTCAGTCACCCCCAGTGATAGCTGGCTAGATAATGCATTCTTTATTGGCCACTGTTCCGGTTCCTTTCCTGTCCCACTGCCTCCCTCCCTACTGGTGTTTCTCTCTTCTCCCAAATAAGGTACTTGCACTTGAAGATCTTGACATCTTCACATCTTCAAGTAAGTAAGTACCCAAATAAGGTCTTTGCACTTGAAGATCTTGAGATAAAGATCTCAGGATCTGCCTCTGGGGAAGACAGAAACCAAAACACCTACTTCCAGGATTTTATAGTTAGAGAAATAAGACATATGCCTGTAAAACTCATGGGAATTCAAGGCCAATGCATTGAGTGCTTATGAGTTGCAAATCCCTTGCAGGGCAGTCTTATCTTCCAGGGCCTGGCTGATCACATTTAGGGTTTTTCAAAGTACCCTGGCAATTTTCCCCTTACCCTGGAGGCAACATTGAAATGGCTCATTCTTTGTGTTGTTTTGCTCAAGTGAGCAGTGATGTGACATTTGTATTACCATTAATTTTCTGGACTCAGAGCACAGGATAACATGCATCCTTTTGAAAGCCCTCTATAGCTCTCCAATCTTGGGTTTTTTATGTGACTCATAAAAGAACACTGATGTTAGAACCAGAAGATCTGGATTTTAATCACAAGATTGCCAGTTACTAACCATGGGACCCTGAGCAAGGATCACAGCTTCCCCTCGTTATTGAAATGAAAGATAATAAAGCACTGTTTCCTATAAACGATCATAGTGAGGATCAAAAGAGATAATGTTTTTTCACTTTGTGAGCTACTAAGTGCCACACAAAGGTATGAACCAAACTCATCAGATAGCAGTATAATTATGAGGCCTTTAAACTTATTAAATGTTAAAATGAGACACTCTACCTGTCGTTCCGCCAAGATTTGGGGTTTTGAAAGCCTGTTGCACAGAGTTATACTGCTGCATCTGTTCCATAGAGCATGGAAATGCAGCTTGCCAGAAAGCAATACATAAAGCTCAGACATTGCCTTCCAGACACAGACAGTGGGATTTAATCGATCAACCAGTGGGGGGATTAATGTTCAGCCTAGAAGGAGACATTGAAAATTATTCTTTCAAATGAAACTACAAGCCTGAGCAAGGTCTCAGCGGGAGAAAGAACACAGCTTTACAAGCTGTACAGGACCCATGCACATGTTCAAGCCAGAAGCTTTCCTCAAAAGGGGAGGGAAAAAAGCTACTTCTGAATTAAAGCTCTGTTACATAAACTGTTTCAGAAACTACCTCCGACTGCATGGGTTGTAGCTCAGTTCTTAGTTCTCCCGATCTTTTTAAAGTCTCATCAGCTTTCTACGAATTTTGTTTCAAAATATTCACTCTGGGAGGCCGAGGTGGGAGGACTGCTTGAGCTCAGGAGTTTGAGACCAGCCTGAGCAAGAGCGAGACCCTGACCCCGTCCGTCTCTACTATAAATAGAAAGAAATTAGCCAAGCAACTAAAAATAGAAAAAATTAGCCAGGCATGGTGGCCAAGCATGCCTGTAGTCCCAGCTACCTGGGAGGCTGAGGCAGGAGGATTGCTTGAGCCCTGGAGTTTGAGGTTGCTGTGAGCTAGGCTGATGCCACAGCACTCTAGCCTGGGCAACAGAGTGAGACCCTGTCTCAAAAAATATATATATTCACAGGTTTTTTTTTGTTGTTGTTGTTGTTGTTGTTTTTATCTTACAACAAATTTAAAGTCTAACTTGGAAATGAAGATTGATTTTCCTACAGGTATCTAGGGTCTTTGTCCAAGACACTGTAATGTTTAGAGTCTTACTTTTGTAACATTTTGGTGTTTTATTCTTATTAATAACTAAAAGATCCCTTTCTTTTAGACTCAACACAATGTGTGGGATTTTCTTGTTTCCTTGCTCTGGGCGTTTAGGGTAGCTGCTACTGGAGGCACGATTAGGTTTGCCATCGTGGCTTATTTCATCATTTTAACCTTAAAAAGTGAGTCTGGCTTAAGAGTATCTGATTTTGTCTATTCAAAATGTTTAACACGTTTATTGACACAATACTAAATCTAAAGAGTCTATGTTTGTCATTCACATATTGACTGTGATGGAAACATAAGTCAAGTGCATAGCAAAGCTTTTATTCAAACTTGTTTTCTTTTCGTCAGTATCATTCATAATGCATTATGATATATTTTTAGGGCCCTTAAATTTTATCATGTCTAAACTAAGTACTTAATTATATTCTCTTTTTTTAGAACTAATGATTGCCATTTCCGCAGTACATGATAATCTCAAGTTTGAAACCAGATGGAACCTTTGTCTTCAGGCAGTATAATCATTGAGTTAAGAGCATGTGCTCTGGAGTTAGTTAAGGGACCAACGCCCAGCCCATCACTCTGTAGTTGAGTCATAATGGTCAAGTAATTGAAGGCTCTAAGCCTAATAAATGGTCCCTGATTTAGGATGGTTCCACTTAGGATTTTTCGACTTTAGGATTGTGCGAAAGCGATAGGCATTCAGTAGAAACGGTACTTCGAATACCTATACAACCATTCTATTTTTCACTTTCAGTACAATATTCAATAAATTACATGGGATATTCAACACTTTATTGCAAACAGGGTGTCTTTTAGATAAGTTTGACCAACTGTGGGCTAATGTAAATGTTCTGAGCACATTTAAGGTAGGTTCGAAATATTAAATGCATTTTCGGCTTAAGATATTTTCAATTTACGATGGGCTTATTGGGATGTTGCCCCATCATAAGTTTGGGAGCATCTGTACATCCCACATAGAGGCATTGAGAGAAGTGAGTAAAATAACCCCATTGAAGTGCTCAGGCTAGTGTCCTGCACGTGGTGAGGCTCTGGAGAATGTCACTACCGATGTCAGCATCATTCATTGATCCCGGTCCACTGGCGGCAGACAGTGTGATGGACAGATGCTTAGGCCCAATTTGTCTGATGGATAATTAGTGCCAACTAATTACATAAAACATTTCGTGAAAAATCTGAGATTGTGGCATATGCCTTCAGGTTGCATGGTGAACCTCCAACCCTGATCATTCACCATTCAGACCATTAATGAGTTAAATTAAGCACTATTAAAGATAGGCATTCCAGTAAAAGAATGGGCAAAAGTTTTGAACATGGGCCTCACAAAAGAAATCCAAATGGCCAATAAATATACGAGGAGGCACACAACTTCATTTGTCACTAGCGAAATGCAAATTAAAACTATAATGAGATTTTACTACATACCCGTCAGATGAGCCAATGTTAAGCAAGTCCAACAATACTAAGTATTTTGAACTTTGGGTAAAGAAATGGAAAAATAAGAACCTTTGTCAACTGTTAAAAGAAGTGTAAATTGCTGATCACATTAGAAAATACTTTTCTAGTGTCTAGAAAAGAAGAAGCTATGCATACCCTATAATTCAGAAATAATCACTTAGAGGTAATTACCCTAAAAATACTCATGCACATATACACCTAAATATATAAAACATAATGCTCAAATCAATGTCACTTTTAATGCCCCAAAATGGAGATATTTCAAACATCCACCATCAATAAAATGGATAAAAAATTTTGGTACAAGCATGTGATGGAATACTATACAGCTAATAAAATAAATAAAATGTAGCTCCATGCAACATGGATGGCTCTTAAAAACAAAGTTCTAGAACAAGCAAAATGAAATTACATTTTCAGGAATACATAAGTAGGTGGTAAAACTATAAATGCAAGCCAAGAAGCAGTCACCATGGAAGTGAGGTTGTCACTTTCATGTTATCTCTCACAGGAAGGAAAGTGATGTGATCAAGAAGGGACACTTAAGAGTGATTCTGAGGAGATGGCATTGGTGCATTTCTTGAGGTCAGTGGTTATAGCATGAGTACTTAAAAATTACTCATAATAAACTCAGATAATTTGATTTATGTATGTTTTTCTGGAATGTGTTTCATGTTTTTTAACGTTAAGCACTATGAAAAGGTTTTTGTTTCTACAAGCTCTCAAGAAACTGCTTTCATTGGAATAATCCCAAAAATTCTTCCAGAAGAAATTATCCTCTGGGGTGTGGGGCTTTGCCCAGGATGACATTATTCATAGCTACCTACTGCTAAATAAGCAAACTGCATGGCCCCCACCCCATTTTGATGATTCTTGACCACTTGCATTTTTTTTTGCTAACTCCTATACTTCAGGCCACCTGGAATTTTCCCAACAGGTCTAAGGGAGTCTGAGCCAAATGCTTGTCCCTAAAGGGCTGCAGCGAATGTTTAACCAGAGAACAAGGCCTATACAGCCAGGGCCCTCACCCCTTGCTTCTGCTATGTTGATAGGCATGTACCTCTAAACTACAAAAAGCTACAGATGCACTTGGTTCATCTTCCTGAAAGTCATTTAAAACATTATTTTGCATTTAAAAATATGAATATATTACAGAGAAAAATATTTCATTGAAAACTGCTATGACTTCTTTCACAACTTATATTC